CATAATGAAAGGGTGTAGGAACGGTGATGCAAAGTGGATCCACAGAAAAGTGTATGTATGAGTGTTGTTGTCCATCAACATCAAATACTGCTTCTAAGACATGACAAGTGAACTGTTTGAGAATTGGGTAAAATATTTTGTTCTACTAATTATTCCACCAGGCAGCGCAATAGTTAACGAGAACGCTAGTTATCAAAGTACTTTAGCGTAAAAAGTACCAACGATCTGCGTCAATAGTTCCCTAGTCAGCATGACCTTTATTTTGAAGATACTTATACAAAAAAATAATTAATTGACGTTTTGAGAATCCAATAGTATGATAAAACTTATTTCGAAGAGAAGGTCATAAAAAATCATTTTAGATTACAATCACTGCGTTTTGTGTCCTATAGAAATGGTATGGTTCGAATTAAAAAACAAAGTTAAAAGTTAAAACTGAGGATGAATTAATATCAGAGAGTAGTTGGAGAGAATGTGTTAACCATGTACTTATAGTGGAAACTAATTAAAAGAACTTGGGACAACGTAAAACCATGAATTATATCCTTGGATGGACAGCGATTCAAACAGATTCAAACTATTCTGAAGCCTACTTTTTTTAATATGTATTTATTATTGCAATTACATTTATACAGTACGCAATACAACAGACTTGTTTGATTTATTCCTACGATCAGATTAAAACGTTAATAACATTATTACAGTTATGATTATTTATCGAGTGTCAGACTACACGACAGCATACACGGTATTTCAAAAACCATGCGCCAACGATGGGCGCCAAGTTCTTATACAGAGTGCTAAAGATAAAAAACGCTTTCTTTTACAATATCTTAAATACTTTTTGTTCGATTTCATTCAAATTTCATAACGTTATTTACAATAATAAAGGATGAAATTTACTTTAACTAAATAAAATTTGTGAATCCCAGTGCCATCGGGTGTAGTATTTTAACCAATATTTTGAGTAAACCACTACCACTACCACCACTACTTCTTTGGATCCTTCGATTACAATAAAGTTCTAGAAAAGTAATACTAAAGAAAATGATGAATATGACCACTATTAGCCTGTCGCATCTCTAGATGAGTTTTGGCGTATGTTTTTTTAAACATACGCCAAAACCAAGAAGGTCAAATTAAATTTATTTATTTCAAACAAAGGATACTGAAAAATAAAGTTATAACATATAAAAGGTTTACATTTTGTGTACGTGAATTGAATTGAGGGAACAATAAATTAAAAAGGTTCTTTACCGAACTTATCTTTCCAATGTACATCAACGTAGGTATGCATAATTCAAGTAGCAATTCTTCAAGTAGCAATATTTTAGCGAAATTTTGATAATCAAATTGATCAAACAATAAAAAGGATGCTTTAGCAGCCCACGTGTTCATGATAAAGTAAAAACGAAACAGATAAGGAGACAGACAAAGAATGTGATATCTACAAGGTGGCGCAAAGTTCAGAGTAATTAAAATTTTGAAAAAAAAAAAATAAATATTTCATAAAACTTAAAGCGAGTTTCATGTAAGTGTGGCAAATACGAATATATACAGGTTGATTCAAATCGAATGGAATGGCACCATATTCTTTGTATCAACATATTTCGATTTGTCATATAAACATATGTCAAATAGAAGTATAGTTCTAGATATGCTATTTTACGTTTTAGTTAATTTTTTATCTTATAAAATTAAAGTAGGTTTTGGTTCTTAGTTTTTTTAGTTCTACATGCAAATATAATGGTCTTATTGCACTTTGTTGGTACGTAGAGATGTTCCAAATAGCATGTAGACAGGAAGATTTTTCGTAACATTTATGACCGTTTTGGAGCTTCGGCAACAAAAAGAGCACAATTGAGGGTGTTTAAGAAATATTGCACTAGATCAGGAAGAAGAAATGCTTGCATAAATTTTTTATCCTTGTTCGAAACCAGAAAAATGAAACTCTTAGTTTTGTTAACAAAATATTTATAATTTTCATAGTAGACATTCATGGGCATTAGAAAATCATTTCCATTTTAGCAGGAATTCACGATGAACGGATGGCCAAGCCTAGTAAATAATTATGCACGAGGATAACACAACTTCATGGAATGGATATATGACTTCGCTATAACAAACCTTTGCCTATAACACATGCCCATAATCTTTGCCTATAACCTTTGCCTATAACATATGATGCTTTTGTTTGACGGAGCACCACCTCATTTCGCAAAAATTGTAAGAAGTTATCATATTTTAAACTTTCCCAATAATAGACTTGGTAGAAGTCCGCTTTTTGAATGGCTATATAAAAAAAATTGAAAACATTTAATACAATACTTTCTCATGGCCCAATTTTTGGTATCTATATTTATAAAATTGTGAACGAAAGTAATACAAATCGAAAAAATAAAATTACTTCTATCACCCTGTATCTCTGACAGTTTTGACCTTGAGTTTATTTGACAAATCGAAATATTTTGATATAAAGAAGATGCTGGTATTCCATGGCTCATTCGTCTTGAAACACCCTGCATATTTCATTGAATTTTAATAACACCTTTCCAACTTATTGGGAAAACATAAATAAAAATGATCTTCTGGTACACTTATAAAACTAAGTTGATAATAATAAAGTTAAATGCATTTCCAAGAATGTAGTAGTACGCCCGAGCAATTATTTCATACAGGGAGTTTTTCAAAGCCTTGAGAAATTGGCCAACTTTAATTTTAAAATGAAACTTTACTCGAAACCTGTACCGTTTTAGTTATTTTCTTAATATTCAAGCATTAATTATAAAATAAAAGTTATGCACTCGCATTTTACACATATGTAAAACAACATTGTTAAATTTAAATTTTAATCGAATATAAATCCGAAAAGTATCTATTCAATTTTAAAAAAATTAGGTGATAACCGAATATTTATCAAAATAAATTTATGTCAATTACAACATCTTTTGTGACTTGGTTATTGTATTTCTTAAATATCACTTCGCCACAGGCGCTGTCTACACAGTATTTGGTAAACAATACATGTTTCTATATAAAAAGGAATTTTAGGCTTAAATTTCAGAAAAATTAATGAATTGGGATTTTGTCAATAATGATGATATGATGTTAATGATGCAAATACCAATAGCAATACTTAACTTTACGTTTGATAATAATTGTTCTATTTATAATGACCGACAAAAGGTATTATAAAAAACAGAAGCAAATGCTAAAATGTGAACGATATGCTGTCAAAAATTATTAATATTGCTATGACAACGAGGAACGGCAATTCTTTCAATGCCTATTAATGGTTTTTGAAAACGCCCCAATGATTCAATGAATAAATATTTTTATATTTATTGATTTATAATACAGAATTCTTCTAATATATAGCAGAGCTAAAAAATTTAATTAATTCCGCTAATCTTGCCTTGGAATTGATAAAAATCATCAATAAATTCGAAACGGCCCACCGCATGTTCATATATATCATTTCATTGGTCTTTTAAAGGGCTATCCGTAAATGCAAAAACATACGGGGTGTTGTATGTAAACAAATTTGGAGAAGTAACATTTTGCTAAACATTACAATGATAAAAATATTTTTTAATTTTGAATATTCTCTTAGAAAAGGTATTGTTTTCTAAAATATATTACGTAGGAAAATGTTTGAAGAGTTAATATGGAACGTTACAAAAATCTTTCCAATATTGCTCAACAGCATTAAACGCAATTATAGAGCAGGAGAACACAACTACATTTAATCAGAATTACAAAATTATTTACAAAGTATAAATACCACTACCCAAATACACTAATATTGCAAAAAAGATGATCCGCAACACAATGAACATAAGAAAAATACTAACGAAGGAAATTACTCAACTGCGAAGGCAACGAAATTGTTAGAAGACTAGGCACAACAGAATTTTAGCTTAATGCTACTCAAACTGCAATTAAAAATGTCTAAATCGCTGGTACGGTTGGAAACGTTGCACATATTCTTCAACTCCAATATAACCTGAATACCGAATAACCGAATAACGGTGCATTAAAAATTGATATATAGGAACCGCCTTTTAATATATAGGGTGTGCCATTTAAAAAAATATAATTTATTTGACCACCCTTTTCAAATTTTTTTCTAACACTGATTATAAATTTTTGAGATTCAGTGATTTCTTTTTAACAATTTAAAAATTACGGCAATATTTACCGTTTTAGGAGACACCCGCGGCTATTATCTATAAGGGCTATAAGGCTATAAGGGGAATGCCATTTTGACATTTCAGTTTCTTTAAGCTTACCAAATTTCAAAATGTTATCCACGTCTTTTCTAAAAAAATTTTGCAAATTAACACCTTCAGGTTTCCAAATTTAAAAGACTCTTGACCCTTTGGAAACCATTTTTCGGGGCATGTGCGAATGAACCATTTTTTATCATTTTCCTCTCTAAAGTCACCACTAAAATCACTCAATCAAATTTTGCTTATTAACTAAAGAGAAACTATTTTTTTCTCCATAATAGTTTACTAAGTTTTTTTATTACTTTGTCAGTAATTGAATTGAAGGCGACAACATGGCAGTGATTTGTATCTTGGTATGATTTTGGACATTTTCCAATTTTTAATGTTTCTCGGGTCATTAAGCGAGTCGAGGTAGTTTTATTCAAGAATTGGGACGTTAGTCACGCTTCCGGTAAAATTTATTCGTTCGTCCTTCGACGCTAATCATAACATAGCTCATAATTTAGCAATCGCTTTTAAAAGAATGGAACTTTGCACGTACTCGTAATTTGTTCGTTGCCGATTTCAAAATAAAAATAACAGGCGTCTTATTTTTGGGTTTCGCATCGCTTCCAATAAATCATTTTCAAGCCCAGACTAATTAAAATATGTATTTTCTGCTGCCCTCAAATTAGACGGCGCTCTAATTTTAAATCCAATTTATAATGATCATGTATCCGGCCGTGCCTAATTATTATTACTCGACCAAAATTATACGAGGAATCTTACCGCGATGAGCAGTCCCCTCACGTACAAAATACTGGAATCGAAATGGAGTTTGTGGTCGATGATTGCACGCGCATCTATGTCGTCTTTCGGATAGATAGAATCATCCATCGCGTATTTTCCAACCAGGTAGCCCATGATGGCGTGACTGTCGACGATGACTACGTCGTCGTCTTCGAGTACTGGAATTGTGTGCTGAGGATTTTTCTGAAATTACACAAATCGAAGTAAATTCAGACCAAGTAACTAACGAGAGTATATCTGGTGACCCTCTTAATATGGGATGACATCTTTTACAACTTTTTCCAGTATAGAAAGTGACTTTCTCCTTAAATGCTAAATTCAAAAAATAAATAAATTTGAAAAAATCACTTTTAACTATTTTTTTCGCTAAAATTTTAATATTTTTGATCAGCCTGCATTTATTTGTTTTTAAAATATCGACATACCTAATAAAGTAGATTCAACTCCAAATATATAACAAAGGCTTTCAGTCGAAGAAATCGATGCATAATTCCTTGATCAAAAAGTTCACGCAAGAACCACCGTGTGGCGCACTCATTGTTCTGATTGGAGTTCTTTTTTTGTTTAAGTTGGTACATCTGTTACTGACATTTCCATTAAATAATAATAATAATAATAATAATAATAATAATAATAATAATAATAATAATAATAATAATGGATTTAAATTTGCAATAACGAACTTTCATTAAATTTTGCGTTAAAAACGGATCGAATGGTGCGCGATTGCTATAAATGTTGGAAAGGTGTTTTGGCAATGTGAGTCCAGCGCAATAGTACATCATCCACACCGAATACCGACGAAAACATTGATAAAGGAACAGAAATGTTGGTCAATAATAGGAAATTAACCATCAGAGAGATAGCGGACGGCTTGAACATTGCCTGTGGATCTGTCCAAGACATTTTGGTTAATGATTTGGATTTCCGCCATTTAGCAGTAAAATTGTTGCCAACAGTTCCATGCAAAAAAACATATTGACGTCGCAAAAGAGATGATTTGCGAGGTTAATTCCGAACCCACATTCTTCAAAAGGATCATTACTGGATACGAGACGTGGATTTCTGAGTACGACACTCAATCCAGACATCAGGCAAGTGAATGGCTTTTTTCAAATGAGCTGAGACCAAAAAGCAACTTCGTTTTCAGTCCAAAAAGAAGGCAATGGTTACGGTTTTCATATTTTAGAAAGATGTAGTAAATTTTTGCCAGAGGGTCAGACAGTAAACCAAGAGTATTATGTGGGCGTTATGAGAGGTTTGGACATGTGGACTTTGCACCATGATAACGCACCGTCCCACCATCATTATTTTTTGTGAAAAAAATGCATCAAATTGGCTCCATGTGCCTTATTTCAGCAAAATAGAGGAAGTAATAGTAAATTCGCAGGAAAAACATAGACATACATAAAGCTGAATATAAAAAATATTCCGAGGATTGAATCAATCGCTGGCATAAGTGTATTGCACTAAAGTAACCTTGCATTTTTAATTTTCTGAATAAATTTGTGATCAAGGGATAAATTTATACCTGCAAAATATATCAGGAATGGTATATATAAAATATTTTCCAACGTATTCAAAAATGTCTTAATATACAGGGTGTTGAAAGTTAGGAATGTCTGTTTGTCTATGAATATACAAAAATTCTCTATACATGATCAAGTTTTGAAGGAATAATTGAATTTAGTTTTTTTTTTAATATTTTTACAGCTTCAGAATCATTAGGTACAAGTAGTAGTGAAGTAAAAGTGATAGAGGTTTTTAAAGTATATTTACAATACTATTTACAAATTTTACTACAATTTCTTGCTTTATTTAAAAAAAGTCTACCTAACAGGCGTCAAGTTCAACAACTAACAGGTAGGTTACAGCCTACATGACACATACGGAGGCATTGGATGGAATAATGACATCACGTAACTTAACCTAAAATCTAACCTAACATAAGCATTAGCTTTAATAAAAAAAGATTAAATTAATGGGGCAATAATGTTTTTTACTTTACTTATAGGGGAAAATTTTAAAATAAATTTTCTTGCCATGAGCAGAAAAAATGTGTTACGATGTCTAGAGTTTATAAGAGGAAGAAAAAAATTCAAATATGTCAATCAAACAGTTATTTCAAATTTTAAATAAAATCATTAAATGATGGTAATCATGGTGATCACTAAGAGACATATAAGTAAATTTATTTCGTAATATTGCGAAAAACCTTGTGGGGGATATACTTCGTCCTTTTTATGTCACATATTTCAAAAAACTATGCTGATTTTTTTCCATGCTGTTAATATAACAATTGTATTGTTAAAGTCTCTAGGACAACGTACGATAAGTCCACAGCTTTTTGAGACATGCCTTATTAACATGAGGAAAAAAGAATAATTTCGAGTCGAATACTACCTCCAAGTCACAAACAATGTTAGAATTGGTGAGAGTTGTATGAAATAGATAATATTTAACAGTATATCTGCAGTGCACTGCATTGTGCTAGACTGTATTGAGTTACAATTTATTATTTAGGGACTGATTATTGTTTTTCTTCGAACTATGCTACAATCCTCTAAACATTGGTCTAGAAAAAATACGTTATCAACATATAACAGAAAACCAGCATTAAAACGACAACGCAAACAAACACTTTTGAAAAATCAAGATATGTGGCGTTTAATTGAGACCAATCCTCGATAGCCTCAGAAATATGCTATTACATGGTTAAATTGATAATGGTGGAGCTCCCTTTAAAAAATTATGTTGATGGGGGACAATTTGTTTTTCATCAATATGAAATATTGTGCCATGTGGAAGGGATTCTAAAAATTTAGAGAAATTGAAGATAAGAGAATTAACCCTATAGTTTGTGATTTGAGGTCTACAGTATTTTTTGTGTACAGGCACAATTTTAGACTTTATCGAGAGCGAAACATGGAACCATTGTAAATTTAGGTTTAAAAGTTCTTTATGTTTATATTTTCAAAGTGGTATGAATTACTAATATTAAAATTGTTTAAAGAAGTAAAAATGACTGTCCAAAACACACAAACGAACAAAACCTTTTAGGATCTTTTTTAATGTCATATTCAATTTTCAGTAGATATGCGAAGCTAAGCAAGTTTTGATTTATCAGCAAGAGGAAACCAGAAGATTTGTAAATAGTATTACAGTAGCCAGTGGAAGTTTCTTTGAATAATTATATTTACAATGTTCACCAAATTGTTTTTGTTTTTTATTATATAACTCTTCGTCATTGTCACAAATGGTTTTCATAAATTTATCAATAATTTAGAGAGGTGATTCACATTATAAAATTTTGGTTTTCTAATTTTGCTTATAACGTAATGTTCAGTTGATTTATCCAGATTGGAAATTCGTGATAGTCGAGCTAGATCACATACTTCTTTATTTTAATATAGGAAACACACATAACAAACTTGAATTAAAGGAACTGTTGCTTTCTCAACATATTGAGCAACTGTCCTGGGTTTGCACAATATGATGTCAAATTAGATGACACCTCCCCTAGAGGTCTGTTATTGACTGCAGAGATATACAATTTGGAACGCAGGTAATGAGAAACAAACGCTGAGGTAATCCTTCTCATCCATACGCTCGATCATGTACCGGCTGAGTTATTGAAGAATATTTTTAGTCTTAATCTTAGTCCAGCATCTGACGCCATACCAGCGGGCATAATTTTTTGTTTAGGCGCTTTATAATTTTGCGTTTTGTTTTCAATGGTTCTGATGTACTATGTTTAAATAGTCTATGAGTTTTGTAAATTTCCTGTCTGGGACTGCGTTATTTTCAAGAAGTTTCGTCTTGCATTTGCACGTTTTGTAAAGGTCTAAAAATGCCTCGATTTTCATTTAAATTTCCTTCGGAAGCAACCTCGTACACATCTGGGGACTTGGGTTCTTCCTTAATAGAAACCTTTTCTACAGAATTTCAACACAACCTCAATGTTTCTATAAACCTGACGCCTATGATTTGCTAATTATACTGCATTTTTGCTGTTGATATGTTCATTTTGTTTCTTAAAATTAAATTATCTTTCCGTGTTTGCCAAGCATCACATAAAAATATAGAATTTTATAGGAATTTTTTTCTAAAAATAATCTGTAGAATCACCTCCTTAAATAATGAGTTGACTTTTTTAAACACTCTGTATATGCGTGCTATTTCTCAGCATTTGCACGTTTTGTAGAGGTTTGGCCCCAGCGACTTTCATTTAAGTTTTCAGTATCTCTGACTTGTTGAACTAACCTCGTACACTTCTGGGGATTTGCGTTCTTCCTTAAGGGAACCTTATAGTCCTATACAGTCCTGATACTAATCGAATGTTGCTGTAAAAGACATATCGATAGCAAAAAACACATGAACTTAACAGATAATAATATCAAATGTAATTGCTGCGACGTACAACAACTGGAATGATACCGAATAATTAATTTCCTTTATTTTATTGCAAAAAATCGAAAAAGGCAAACTAGTATTTTATGCTTTTAGGCTTTGTTTAATCTTATAACCAGACAAATAAGACCTAATCTAAAAATAAAATAATTATAACATGTTTATAAGCAGTTAACACCCAGATGATGGTCAATAATACCTTAAACTTTAAAGCGGGTGCCGTTTACAAATACAGAGTGTTGTAGCATAATTATAAATTAAATTTAGTACCCTAGTATATGGCACTTTGGTTTTTAATTTGACAGTGACAGTATCCGTTTAAACCTTACTGCAATTCCACCTTCTTTAATTAATTTACTTAGAAGTTTAGGAGGGGAAGCTTTGTGGTACCGTGTACTTTTGTACCTGAATTCACAATAAACGCCGAAGGTGTTTCAATGCATAGGGGTGTTAGGGTGCATGCATGAAAAGCATATACTTTCGAAATTTACAATACAAAAAACTTTTGTATTGAACTTTGTGTTGCAGATCTCATTATTTCTTAGATCGTTATTTTCGAGTAACAGGAAAAATTCTAGTTGAACAATAACAGCGAGCGTTTGCATTTCTCTGGCGTTAGGAGGATGATTATAAGCAGACTTGACTGTTTTAAAATGTTTTGAATGGTTTTTCGTTTCGATCAATTAGTGAAACCCCATATCTAAACAAAAAACAAATGCTGCGGAGGTATATTGTTTACATTCGTTTGTGTAAAACCAACATCAATGTTTGCGGTATTTTCAGTTTATTAAAACAGCTTGATTAAACGCTGGCAGTGTTGGATTTGGTCCAAGTTTATAAGTAACTCGGGCGCAGCTCCCGATATTTTTCTCCATTAACATGCAGTATGTTTGTGTATGTCGCCAGTAATTGGAGCGAGCATTTTTGAATTACTTTCCAATCACGTAGTCCGCACATGATGGAAGACGATGGGTCGTTATCTCGATTGTTTCATTTGTAGAGCTGTTAATTGAAATTGCTATATGCTAAATGTTTCGTGGGCTTTGTTGGACATAATGAGTCTGTTATGGATATTGTTGCTTCGTACTGCCATGATATCAAAGCCTATTTTGAGGAGGATACGAAGAAGATTGGAGGAGAGGCGCTTATTCAAGCGAAGCCATTTATTAAATTATTTACATTAACATAACCTCTTTCTCAACAACTATTATTTGAGTTGAGTTTCTTGTATTCTTTGAGTTGATAGTAAATACTACTAATATTTGAACAGGCGGGATAATGAAATACAAGTTTTTTTATTAGTTGAATATTAAAATCTTTTCAGAAAATTTGTCAACATGTTTTCTTTCTCTCATTTGCATTTCCCGATTTTAAGAATACTGGTTTTTGGTTTCAAGAGACATTTTTATGGAATGTTTATATTTCTCTGGAGAGTTCTTAAAATAGTTGGTAGATAAGGATTCCAGGGAACATTGAAAACAAATTATGACGATTTTGTTTGTCTCATGTATACTGTTAAATTACATCCCTCATTAGATCCCAAACTTTTTACTTTTTAGAAACAACCTGATTTGATAACACTCGTTACAGGAAGATTATAAATAGGGAGTTTCAAAAAATTCAAATATTTAGATACATATTGCAAACACACAGATATGAAATCTATCATGATTTCAGCTTTTGACAATGACCACTATAAGGAACCAAGCTTTCCATGAACTAACCAATTTTGTTTAATTAAACTTGCTGAAGACAATTTAATACATTAACAATTAACATATATCAGGATCATTCGCCTGACACTTCGCCAAAACACCACATGGCATCTTCAGAGGCCGCGCGTCCACGTCACTCGTACGTGTCCGCACTCCAGGGTCAAACAACGAACGAATGAACTCCCGGATTACCACCAAAGAAAATTTTACGTTGCTTGTAATATTATCAATTTGATTGTCATTTGCAAATATTATCACTAAGGATTTATTAAGAATAATTACGAGTATATGCTGAGTGACAGAATCGTAAAATCTATTCAAATCATAATTTGCTTCGGTAAGGTGCTTCTCAGAAAAAGAAAAGTATAATTGAGTGTCATCTTCATAAAAATGGTAAGCACAAAACCGTAGTGATGTTGCTATCCTGAATTTAAAAATCGCAAGCAGAAATGGTCTTAAAATACTACCCAGGGGCAATCTTTTGTTAAAAGTCAAAGGCGCGAGTATCATGTGAAAATCAAGTAAAAACAACTCAGTATTTTTGTTATCATCATCAGCCTTAAGAATATCATTTTACATCTGCAAGAGCGCTTTTACAAATATAACCAGATGCAAAACCTTGTTGTTTGGGAGTAAAAATACTGTAAATATTGAGAAATGCTGTTATTTGCTTGGCCATTAATTTCTCGAAAACCTTAGAGAGTGTAGGCAGAATACTAAGAAAACGCAAATGAACAAACTCTGTAGGTTTTACTATTTTATCCATGAGTTTTTATAGCACAAATAGGACGTGGACACCATACATTCATTAATTAAGTGGTTGGAATGAACTGATATTAATACTGTTGGTTCCCGTTGCCTCAGTCTTAATAGTGAGAATTACATTAAGCACTTCAACTTCGACAGTTAAGTCAAAGCTAAAATGTTCTTCAATAACATTATTTTTATAAAATTTAAAACGTTTTGAGTTTGACAAGGTATTAGAGGCAGTGGAGTTTATAAAAAAATATTAAGAGGTACTGTACAGTATTAAGACAATTAGGGAGTGTTTTTTTTTTGCTTCATATGATATTATTTTTTTAGTTCACGTCACTTCCCTCTATAGGAGGTTCAAGTTTACAATGGACTTAACAATTAAAAATAATTTGGATTACGGTTATGTCTTTTTCTTCCATGACATAAATAGCTTTCAAGTAATATTTATTAATCATTTGTTATGCTAAATGTGTGACGATGGAAACATATTTTTTATATCTGTGAATTTTCCAAGTCCCTATGACGCATTTTAATGATGTTAACAAGTGCTGCCAGCAAAATTGGATTGCTTTTCTACGAAACAAATATTTGTGATTCAGCCCGAAATAGTGAGGAGAAAATATTTTTTATCTGTCGCATCACGAGCCTTTGTTATTGTTTACTTGGGATCCTGTATAGACATTCTTGTGTTAAGTTCACGTATAACAATTCTAAAAATACCGAACTACAAAATAAACGCAGATTCTAAAATATTTGAGACCGTATTATTTTCGTCGTAATAACATACTTCAAATCGCGTGTTTTTACTCAAAAAATAACAGAGGTCAAATAAATGAACGTTTCGAGGTTTAACAGAAACTTATACAGAGCGAAGTGCATTTTTTTCAATAGTGCATTCTGCAGATTTCTACTGTGATTTTTGAAAAATTAGCAACTTTTCAATACAATTTAAGAAAAGAACTGGAAACTAAAATAAAAACAGAAACACCTATTTTATTGTAAAGCATAAAAATATTAAAAGGTATGCAACAACAATATAATTTTTGGAAATTTACTGTTTCATGGGTACATTTCGATGACATAGCGGTGGCTTTCCTCCATTTTTCAATTTTTCATTAGAAAAGCAATACACGAAAATTACTTTTTCCTCTGATGACACTTATAATCAGAAAAACGGCTATTTCAAACTAAGTCCTATTGGGTGAAATGTGACTTTACATCGTCTTGAAAGTTTTTCGGAAAACACATTCTCATTTGTAAAAACTGTTATTATACCACGAATACCACATATCTTCGCTACTGGAACATATAAAGCTTATTATTATGCTTCAGGTTGTAAATCCATGTTAACCGTTTTTAAAATATGTAGCTTTCAATGTGTCCTGGATTAAACCTTTATTGGAAAGACTCTCCCTAAAATTCAAGGTTACAAGGTTTCATTTTTGGTTACCATTTGTGAATCGACCTGTATATCAAGTCTTTCCTCATAAGCTTCTGCTTGCTTTATTTTACGATGTATTAAAATCAACAGCGGTCATAATAGATATCGATTTAATACTTATATTACGTTAAAAAAATATAATTAGTGTTTGACAACAGCTTATTTGTTTTCGTGGGTGCAGTAAAACTATATTATATTTCACATAAGTCAATAACTCCCAAATCAAATATGGATACATATACGTAAAAGAATTTTTTTCACAAAATGTTTTTGGTTCACTCTGTACATGCAAAAGTTATTTTGTGCTGATGGTTTGGGATAATGCCTACAACTTTTGCAGAAGCACTTTAAATATTACAAAACTGTGAATAATATCTGTATACATGTTTTGCTAATTGATCGATAATTCAATTTAAAATAAAATTATCGTAATATTATGAATTACATAATATTACAAATCTGTTATTCTTAATATGATATCGGTTATTAGCTAATCCGTTAAAAAATTACCAATTTTTTTAACCTAAGCCCAATCATATTAAACAAAATGATTTAAATATATATATATATATATATATATATATATATATATATATATATATATATATATATGTATATATATATGGGACTGATATATTTATATTTACACTTATTAGTACTTGCTATTTAAATTGTTTCTTATTTGGAAGTTGTATTACAAATTTTATCTATTAATGTTAACCCAGCACATAATAACATAAAATTGTCATGCTCATGAAAATTACTCTGGATGTGGAGCGCGAGTTATGCCAGAAGTGCCAGATTGTTTTATTATTTTGCTTTAAAAAAACAACAATGTTAGTCAGGTTTGCTTATCATTAGTTGGTTGTTACCTACCCAAACGTGTAGACAAGTTTCGGCTTATTCGATTAAACCTCTGTAAAATTTCTTCCAAGGAATTTTTCTTTAAGTGGAGTTTGGTGGTATTATTTTTAAGAACAAAAAAGCGTGCATTACCTTTAAAAATTCCGGTTTCAGGTGTTCTCCTTTGGTTAAATCTATAACGTTCAGTTCCAAATTGATACCAACTTCTTGCGCACACATCAACACCGCTCTACAGGCTGGACTCAATGAATTCATGAACAACTTGGGAGCCATCGTGTTCGGTACGACCAGAGGGTTGACCTGAAGACAATCCAACTGACTCTCCGGAACGAGACCTCTGACAAAAAACAAACCGACAAAAAACGGAAAGTCCATGCACCGGATAAATTTAAACCCGCCTAGTATCAGGGCGAACAGAGAGGGATTAAATATTTTCGCTACAAAGCCTATCTAAGTTCCTCAGGTTTGAGGGCAATCAGATGCTCTCAGTAGATTTTAATCACAGAGGGTATTTTGACGTTTTTCACTTAACACATAACTCAGTGAAGGTGTTCGCGCTGTTTTACATAAAAAGTATATTACGCAATAAATTGATAAACTTCTTCAGTCACTCGTTCAATAAGCACTCGCTCCACTGGTGGGAGATCGAAGTTGTTACTAAGGTACCGTTTATCAATTTAAAAATAATATACTTTATTGAGAATTAAGATATATTCAGAAATATATATGACGCATAGGATCCAGTACGATATTCTCAAAGGGAGAAAGAAAATAATCATTTATTTGTTGTATGGATATATGCTATGCTATATGATAAGTGTATAAGTATACATTAAATCAAAATAACGTAAACGCGTAATATAATAAATTTAAGTTAATTACTAGTTAAACATAATCAAGATTACAGAACTAACAAATTTTATTTGAGTTTTAATAGTTAAATTACGATTAATGGTAAAAACGTTCAAGAAATGCTCGCACCTTTATTGGATTGGTTGCGTAGTTTGCAAATGCAAATATAATTTTATATGTAGGGCATTTTAATGCGTTAACAAGAACCTTGATATTGTTTATATTATTGACAGTGAGAAAGTTTTAACGAAGACATAGAATGGAGAAGACCTCTTTACTCTTGAGGAAGTAGAGTAACTCCTTCACGGGCAGTTTGGATAGTTTTGGTTAATCGTTGTTCAGGTTAATTTTAAATATTATTTGGTAGATGTCCTGATGTGATACTATTATTCTTGATGGGCTTGAGATCATATCAGTGCCCCTACGAACAAACTTTTCACTTAATTCACTAGTCGTTGTCTTGAAATAGATAACTTACAGATGTTTTCAAATATGTCGCTACATTCAATGAAACTTAAGAGACGCAGAAAACAAAACTGAAACCCTATGTTAACCGGCATGGATAATTTACTACTACTATGCAGCATGTCGCATAAGATACTAATAAATTTGAATGTTTATAGAATCTCATAGAATCTAGGTTATTTCCATAAAACAACATTGCCTAGACAAAAGAACAACACCGCAATTTTCACAAATCTTAGACTTTAACCATCTATATAAAGTTTTAGAAAATGCTGTATCAAGATTTGACTGTTGTTAAAAAAGCAAAATTAACAGACACAAGAACACCAACTTAAAAAAAAAAACGAAATTCAACGCGAGAAAATAGGATATGATCTCAAAAAATATCTACCACTATTTTCCAGTTCCACCGATCAGCGTGATGGAATATTTAAACCCCAAAACGTAACCAATTGTTTAGTTTCAATTTGCAAAATACTTCAAAAATTGAAAGAGCTATAAGGAATAAACATAAAAATTCTTGCAATTCGGTGAAAAATATAATTGAAAATTTTCCCGAAAATTCTCAAATTAATTATTTACTAACATTACAGGAAAGCTGGAAAATTCCTCATAAGTTTTATTTGAAGCTTATAAGAATACTGAAAACCATGGAATGTCTTATTTTTTAAATCACTGTATATTCAAAACCATTTGTTATCCGATTTCAACAAACTGAGGCTTGTACATGAAAGGAAAGATTTCCAAATCTGTACCCTTTTTAACGAAATGTTTCAATTTCTTGATTTTGTCACGAAAATTCAAACCTAACGTTATTATTTTGATATCGCAATTTGCAATAAGAATGTTAAAACTTCACTTCGATATCTTTATCGTTTCAGGATTGTAACTAAAAGAATACTTTTAAGAATTTGGTGTTACTTACAGTTTGAGAGTTTTTACTCATGGATTTGCAGTTGGAACTAAAAAAAATTAATCTTTACGGAACATAATAAATGGTTTAAGCCCATTGTTATTTAACTTGATTTTGTTACCAGTTAATTTGAATTGTTGGAATAACAATGAAATAAAGGTTTAACTTAAGGACTTTTCCTTGTCAAACTCGGTTCCAGATAAAGTCGGTATATTCCTGAATAACACAAAACACTGATTATGGAATCCTTTAATATGAAGAACTGAATTGCAACAAAAGTATGATTAGTGTATCAGTTTATTGTGTTTTTTCCACCATAAATGGGAAAGCTGGTGGTTAGACCAGCTATAGTGTGTAACTTTTGTAGCTAGATTTTGATTTAGCATCGAGGCATAAACGATTTTTGAATTATCCTTTCTTAAATCATTGAATGTTGCGGCTTCTCGAACTACATATATTCAAATATTCTTTGCAAGTGAAGCGCGACCAATTTAGAAGGTTGACGTCTCACAAGTTAGTATTTAACATAGCAATTGCAAAGTCCTCGCTGCTCTCCTACAGTAAAATTTATCGTGTTAATTAAAGGATTGATAGCAGAAATGAATTCTGGCACGGTCCTGATCAATAGTATTATGTACAAGACTGTCCCATCAAATTGATTCGGCGACTAAAAATAGTTTTAGTGTGCTTGAGAGTCGTATTATTTTCGACACGCCTTTGCTATTTTTAGAAATCGGAATATATATCGAATACTCATATATCGCACCTTTTTTGGCCAAAGGGTTGTATGTTAGAACATGTTCTGCAGGTACTTTTAAATCCCAAAAATTAGATTGACGAATGATGTAGAGATGATGAACCACATATGTTCAGTTTATAGCTTGAAAGAACATTTATATCACTGTTAAGAGTGAGCAGGTGTTTGGCTTTACTTTGTGCTTACATTGTCGTGTCGTGATTTCGCTTAACATACTTAAATGTTGTCAAAAAAAAACAAAGTTTTTAATTTAAAAGTGTATTCTTTTAAAAAATTAGCTTGTTTTGTAAACTTTGAAGAACTCAGCTGGTTGATTGGTAAAACTTCAAGTTCGGTTTATCAACAACCGATGCAGGAAGAATCCAGATTTGTAAATAGTAAAAAATAAATATCTTTTTTTCCTCATTTTTTTTGAAAATTTGAGAATCGGGGCCAATTTAATTGCAAGTTTGATTATTGCCACTTTTGTCAAGAGTGAGTATTTAATAAACGAGTGTCTGAAGAAGTTTATCAGGATGTTCCATGCTATGCTTTTTCTACGACCATTAGTTTTTGGGGACATTTCTGCAAAACAGCACGAATACATCAATTAAGTGAAGTGTTACGTGACCGTCAGAATTGACAAATCATATATCATCCGTGATCAAACTCTACCGAAAACATCTTCACAAATCCGTGACTAAAAGTCACGTTTTGCTCACCTTTGATTAGTGCATAATTAGGTATTTTAGAGAAAAGAGCATACAAAAACATTTGTAGTAAAGAATTATTATAAAAACTATTCTGCTACATTAGGTTCCGCTACTTTACCAAAATAGATTGGTTTATTTACCAAAATTACTTTCTATTTTAATCCTAAGTTAAATTTAAATCTACTATACCAGATTACATGAAGATTTTTTGAATTGTGCTTTGATAATATAACATGATCTATACAATGTGAATTATTAAGGTAGTTGATTTATTTATGGTATAATTTAAACCCTGCTATATCACTCATTGTGTCATGATTGTTTCGTCTTTCATCTGAACCCACTAGTTTTATTTGTTTGTCTAGCTGCGTGCCAATAAAACGCTTTCATCGGGTGACTGTCCTCTCATTGTTCTGCCGACCTTCAACAGGCAGCTGATTTCTATGGTAAGTATCAATATTTTTAAAACTAAATTACTTGTCCGGTACGAGTCATCTCTACACCAACAAGAAGACGAAGTTTAGTTAGATTTTGTCGCGTCCGCTCTTAATCACAAAAATGTTGTTTTGTTTATTTGTTAGTCAGTCACTTAAATACGCTGTTAAATTACCAATTTTTGTTATTTATAAAAATTAATTTGTTCAAAAACCGACTTTTTGTTTCTACGATTTATCAGAATATTGAAACTTGTTGAGTGACCAGTGCAGTGCAAAATTTCAGCAGCTTATCGGAAATTGGTTCTCAAATCGTTACCTTTTCGCAAGCACGCAGAAGTTTGGTGGGACCACATCGCCAACCTGAGAGACTGTCCCTTATGAAAAATGACATTAGTCGCATCATTTTTTATATAAGCGTAATCTCCGTAAAAGACTTAGCCGTTAATTTATTTGATTTAAAAGTCATAATATTGGTAACCAAATATTTATATCGAAAATAGTTTATGAAATAATGTATATATAGCTATGGCAAACCATTTTAAAAATAGATATGAATAGATGGGAATTATTATTATTTTATTTTTATTATTGATTTACCATCAAATTAATACAAATAAAGTTTAAAATATTTATCTAATGAATTGACTTATTCAAAAATTAATATGGCACAGCCAAGGTAGTAGTAAATACACACATTGCATCGACTATCTTTGTAAGAAAATTTGCTGATCAACGTGATGAGACCTGTCTCAACCGTGATTTAGTTATACTTGGGCAGCAATCTAACAAATCACCTAATTAATTAGTTTATGACAAAGTATTATACATTCTAAATTTTTTTTGTTCGTATCTGGATAACCATGAACAGACCAAAGCTCTAAAGCTGAAGCTCTACAGTTTGTCAATGACGAAAAGAATAGTTAACACTTTCTTGATTGACTGATGATTTATGATTACTTTAAAACTGCAAAAATTCAAGACTCTCCTTTTAATTTAATATGTTAAGAAGTCGACTATTTTAACGAAAACTGTAGTTGCCAGTGCTAGTGAAAGATGTGCAACGGTCTAAAAGAGGTTTGGTTAACAGTCTAGGCTCTGACGGACTCCATTATCCATTATCTTTATCATATATTACTTGAATCAATTTATGAAATAATTAACTCAGTGTTACAGGCTAATGAAAATCCAATCTCTTTTGCAACGCCAAATATAATAAAAGCCTAGTTAATACCTTTTTCA